TTGAGGTTCTTGTGATATGTATACATAGTAACTAGACTCAACACGACTTTTAAATAATAATGTCATTCTTAAAATAAATCCTCAATTGCAAGGAGTTCTTTATCATGGATTTCATAATTAATCTTGGTTGCTAAAAATTTTTTGGAATAGAAAGCTACTAGATGGAGTTTTTTATCTACTTCTATTTGTGATAATATTATAACTAAGGCAAAGTTTGATGCATCAATTTTCATAAAAATGTCTTAGAGAAGTCAACATGATATAAGATTGGTGGAGAAGTAAACTCTTTTTTTAAAATATGTAAGAATGCTTTGGCTTTTTTACTCTATTTAAGCTTGTTTATACAAGTCAAATATGTAAATGGAGTTGCAACTTGAAAAAAATTCTTGATGAAGATTTTATAGTAATTGGTAAAGCCCAAAAAATATTGCACGTCCCTTATTGTTCTTGAAATCTTCCAATCCATGATAGTCTAGACGTTCTTTGAATCCATCATTAATCATACATTAGAAATGATGTATCCTAGGAAGTCAACTTGAATAGTGTGGAATATATACTTTTTTAATTTTGCATATAATCTTACATCTCTAAGTTTTTATAACATACAATAAACATGAATGTCATATTCTTCTATATTCTTAGAATAGATTATCTTTTAATTTAATGTATACCAGATTATATACTCCTAGTAGATCTATTTTTGTATAGATCTTTACTTAATTGAGTTGATTAAGAAGTCCTAAAATCAAAGGTAGAGGATACCTATTCTTGATGGTGATCTTGTTGAGTCCTTGATAGTCCACACATATCTACAAAGATCCATATTTTTTCTTCACAAATAAGATAGGAGCCCCGATTAGAGATTTAAAATGACATATGAAATTTTTAGCCAAATTCTCATCAATGTACTCCTTAAGTGCAACCAATTCATTTTGTGATAAGTTATAGATTGGTCCAAATGGTGGTTGAGCTCTTTCATAAAGATCAATGGAATAATCATAAGGTTAATACTCTCGAAGAATACTTGCGTTTTTTTTTTTTTTTTTTTTTTTTTTTCCAAAAAATTCCTAGAAATCTTTATACTAGTTAGAAATATCACTTGATATTCTCTTACCATCAAAAATAGGCGTGGCATATAAAGCAAAAGATAATCCTTCCTTTGTGGCATGCATAAAAGCTTTTGCACCTACTAATAAGGATTTCGATGTACTAAATTTATATATTTCTACTTGATTAACAAGATTTTGAGTTAAACTTTCAAAAAAATTAAGATTATGAGAAATCAAATCGATCTAAAGATTATACTTTTCTAACCAAGATAATTCTAAAATAATTGGATTGGATGGAGATCTTACTATGTTAAATATTACTATACTATTATAATCTTTAATTACTACATCTAAAGGAATAGTCTCATGTGTATCATCTCTAGAAGATAGCAAATGACCATCTATGACTTCTACATGTATAAGTTTAATTTTTTTGACTAATGTTATCTCTTATTTTTTGATATAATCTTCATCTATAAAACAAGCTAAGGCTCTTGAATCTAACAAAGCTAAGACTTTGTGATTTATTAGTCCTAAATAAACTTTTATTATAAAATAAGGTGAGATATTTGAAGAGAGAATAAGATCTTTACTAAGAGTTACAAAAGATTTTGGTTACATGGTCCCTATTATAGCTAGAGAAACTTATTTTCTGGTAGATTGTCTTCTTTGGCAACCATGCTTCTCATTTTGTGGTTGTATTGTTTCTTTGAATAATATTGAGAAATATGTTTAGTTTCTCCATAATATAAACATAAGCCCTCTTGATGTCGTTAAGTCTTTTTCTGCTCTATGAAGGGTTTAAAATGTACCATATGAATTTATATTGATTCTAGCATCAATGAATATGTTTCTGAAAACTTGCAAGCTGCCATCATTATTTGATTTATTCTTCTCCAACCAAACCTTTATTCTAGGCTTCTTTCAAATAATTAATTGTTGCATGAAATAACTTGAATGATAAATTATTTCAAAGATTCTACCTTTGGCATTGTCAATAATAAATCTTTCACATTATCCTTCAATCTATATCAAAATTGATTGATAAGGGCTTTATCATTCAAGTCCACATCACAAGCAAATTTTTGGAATTGAACAAAATATATAGTGGCTGATTGTGATCCTTGCTGTATAGATAAGAGTTTAGTTTCTGCTATTCTTTTTTGATCACTTTCTCCAAATGTAGCGATAAACACTTTTAGGAATGAATTTAAATCATAAAGGAGTTACAAATCTTTTTCTATTAAAGGTGTAATACAAGAGAGAGCACTTTCTAAGTGAAGTACACATATAAATCCGAATTGAGTAAATCCATCTGACTATTGGAAAAGATACAATCTTAGATAGAGTTTCAATTGTTGCAAAAATCCTTGAAATTTCTCAGGCATAATAATCCTTGTCCCCATCATACTTGTAAAAAAAAAAAACTCCTTTGATTTTATTATAAGATCAATCAATTTACTTCTTTCAATTGCACAATTTTTTGCTACAAACTCTGAACTTCTTCCAAAGGTGTAGGCATAATACTTCCATGATTCAGGTTGAAAATACATGAGATGTCTACTTTTAGAATGTTGACAAGCTCACAAAGATCTACAATAGTTGCAATTCTATTCTCACTTCCATTGAGAATAGCATCCACAATCTTTCCTTCCATAGACAACTCAAACAAATTCAAAATGTTAAATAAGAGGAAGGTAATCCACAACCTCTAATACCAATTGAAAATTTCTACAAAGAGGAATAATCCACTCTCTTTAAAGAAAAGATTAGTGTTAGAAAATAAGATTTTTTGTTTGAAGGTAGATAGTCGGTAACCTTAAAGATACAATAATAGAAATAGGATTATTTTTTCACTTCTAAAACTAAATAGAAACAATAAGTTAGCACTCTTGTCAAATTGTGAAGGACATGAATCTCAAAAAAAAAAAAAAAAAAAAAAATCCTCAGTACACTCTTGTGATACTAAAAAGAATTGAAAAGTCACGCAAAGATTATATTTTTTTGAACTAGAATGGCTATTACCAAAGACAACAAGACTAAAAATTCTTGAAAGAAGACTAAGGACTAGAAAGGAATTGACAAGAGTGAAGAAGGCTTCACTCTTGCCTCCATATATACTTTTAACTACGAGTTACATGGCAATGTCCCCTAAGACCTCCAAAATGTATTGACTTTACAAGCCATGTATCTTAATTTGCAAGGTAAGTTTTTCATATGTATGCCACAAAGTTAGCTTGTTCCGCAAGCTATCAACATGTGGTTAACTTATTAACCAAGTTTCTAACCTATCAATAAAGTATAAACACATATTAACTCAAATCAACATCTATAGAGCTTCTAAAAAGCTTCTCTAAAAGATATTGTGAAATTAATCTACTTTTAGCTACTTCTATCTTATTACATAGGTATTTATTAGAGTATCTATGTATACCAGTGACATAAGACTATCATATATTTTTGAAGGAATTTGAGGACTTATTAAGGTAATAATGGAATTTTTAGAACTTAAAATGAGATGAAGTCACTTGTGAGACATAAGTGAAGGTAGGCCATTTGATGATGGTAGTGGACTTGGAAATGTAGCTTAGATATTAGAGTGCTTGATTAACATGTGAGAGGCATAGAAATTGATATCTTGCTTTTTTATAGCATTTATAGCTTAGTTGGCCAAAGCCATAAGATACTTTCTTTTCATAACTATCACCAAATTTAAAGTCCTTTCCGTACATCATCTATAACTTTGACATTTGTGATTTAAAGTATTTCACAAAAAACTTATTAATAGAATATATCATCTTTAATTATGTCTAAGTATTTCTAGGTGTTCAATATTTGTATGAGAAAGTGATCATGTCTTGGTTATAAATGTAATACCTCTTGCCATTGAAACAAGCAACTTGTTTTAAAGCAATCCGACCATAGCTCAGTTGGTAGAGTGGTAGCTAAAATGGTAGAGCAAGAGCAAGCAACAAAGGGGTGCTAACTAATTAGGATAGAATGTCAATTTTGATTAGCTAGAAGATTTATCATAAATAGTAGCAACTTTATGCATTCAACATTCTTTAGAAGAATCAATGCATTATAAGTGTTTTGAAAATAACTTGCTTTAACTCGAACAACTCGTGATTTATATTATTTAACTATTTGATGTCTATATAGCAAGAACCAATGTACCATACGAAATAATTACACCTATTGAATCAAACATGATAGTACTAATTATATAACAGACACATGGATCCACAATCATAACACGACCATTAGGACTCTATAACACCATGAACAAAAAAATTACCAACTCCTTCATAGAATTATTGCAATCTAATAGAAAGAAAATACTTTACAAATACACAGTAGATTTAGAGCAAAATAATACAAATATGCTAGATAATAACAGTGATGAAACAAATACACAGTAGATTTAGAGCAAAATAATACAAAGATGCTAGATAATAACAGTGATGAAACAAATACACAGTAGATTTAGAGCAAAATAATACAAAGATGCTAGATAATAACAGTGATGAAACAAATACACAGTAGATTTAGAGCAAAATAATACAAATATGCTAGATAATAACAGTGATGAAACATAGGTAGGGATGATAGCAGCCAATGAATTCCCACTTCCACAAGACCAGCCAGTAACGGAGGAGGGGGCACAAGGTCCATTGCAAACGTATCAACCATTTCAAATCCTAGAATTGGACCTAGGCAACAACTCAACAACACCACTTGAGTTACCATTACTTGGAAGAAATTCAGATTATGAGGGGATTTCAGGATCACTAGGTTACAATTAGATATCAAAAGTTGAAACGATAATCAATTACGGTAACCCAGAATTACCAAAACCATCCAATTTGGCTTGCCTTTTCAGGACACAGCCAGAAGTAGACTGTGAGAGATGGCATACCATGAGCAGCAGGCTGGATATGATCGTGTGCATATGTCATAAGAACTCTGAATTTGTGAGAGAAAATTACATATATCAGCAAGCAAGCTTCTTCACCTTACCATGGACTTCCCAACAACCTTCTAGGTCCCTCCCTCTCTCACTGTTTGCTTCCTAGTGTCTACGACTTCTTCCTTTTGTCATTGAACGAATCCGCAGCACCTCGAGTATCAGTTTCCTTGCTACATGTTTCTGCTAACACAAACTATTGGAAGAGTTCAGTGTAACGACAAAGTTTACTTCATCAGCATAATATAACAACACAACCAATGACTTTTTGATGTCGTTCTTTCCTCCCTTGTATTCAAACTGACGGCACGACCAAGACCAAATGGAGACTAATTTCTGAAAGTGCATTGCGACAATTGTGCTAACGAACCTCGACCCCAATTCAGTGGTGCCTCCAGATTGCCGAACTTGTTGCAGAGTTGTGGGTTTGCGAGAGCAGTTGTTAATCTGTGTCCCGTAGCTTTGAATCCTGTGGAAGTGTAGTGAGGAGGGAGAGCCATAGTGTCCTGAATATCAAAGTAAAAGCAATATAAATCCATTGTGCATGAGATTGGAAAAACAGGTTGTAGCTTAAAGCAAGAGGCAAATGATACGTTGTAGGGTTGCAGCATTACAACAGCTAGATACAGAACGATGGTCTTAATGCGCCAATGTGAAAATGAAACCATACTGATACTGAAAAACACAATTGCGGCAACCAAATAGGCAGGTTGACAAATCTTTATGAAACACACCAAAAGAGTTCATCTTGAGGTAAAACGAAGCACCTGAGTGAGGAGAATGAAGTCTTTCCCTTGGCGTCTGCATCTCCTCTGCAATGCAGCTACAGCGTAGTGGCCTGCATTACGTGCAGCTACAGCAACGATAGTCCTGCGAGCAACCAATTTCAATTCGAACATTCTTCTCAGAAGAATACATTTGTCATATAAAAGGAATGCAACAGTGAGGCGAATGTTCATAAACGACCAGCAAACCAGCATTAATTCTAGTTGAACTTTAACTAGAGTTTTCCAAATGTCGAAAGCAATATTAATAGGAAGCAGACGCGAGCAATGATGGGATAAGAATGGCCAATATTGAGGCATACCTACGATAATGATAAAACTCCCATACTAGGGAGGGATTTTCTGCAAAAGCACCCGGGGTAGCAAGTTCCTTTCAAAATGCAAAAGTCGAATCAATAAGTTGGAAGCTGCTTCGGAAGACTTAGGCAGGATCCACTAACACATGATTCCGCCTAAGTTGCGATGTAACCAAGTGAATCTGAAGCACTAAAAACAAATTAATAAACATCATGAAGGAGAAAGAAAATTCACTTACTGTAGCATCGAAGTTGCTCCACAGACCACCTTCTCCACGGAAATTTGGAGTGCCTGATTCCGCTGATATCCCTGCTCCTGTCAACACCACAACTTTTTGCATCGTCTCCCTAAACACACACTAGAGATCAAGACAAGGCAACATATGGCACACTAAATTACATGAAACAACATAAGGGTTTTCGGAATTGCCTTTGATACGAGTTTCGTTAAATCCTAATCCCCTAAGGTGATCCGAAAAAAAGTGAGAAATTCACATCATTAATCCACTTCATCACCAAGGAAGAAAAAAACTGCCTCCCAATGCAAAGACAATGTCTTGTGGACAAAGGACAGGCTATCTTTTGCACTCATACAGTGATGATCCAGTTCATTAGCATTGAGCCATAGTCATGATCACATTGCATGGGATGGAGTGATATTGGGCTAAATTAATTATCACATGGTTTAGGAGGTGTGGCTTTAACAAAATTAGGGTGTGGTTTTAACAAGTCCCTAATTTAAATATGTTTAAACTGTGCATGTAATTTGTTTATTAAATCTACAAAGCTATACCAATATTTTATTTTCTTGTCACAAAATTGATATGTAAAATAAATAAATAAATAAAATTTTAAAGTTATTTATTGGAATATAGTAATTACACTACATGATCCATATTATATACTTATACTCAGTTCAGCTGAAAGATAATTACTTTTAAATTTTTTTGATTAAATGCAGCAAAAAATCATAATTCATAGAAAAATATAATTTGAAGATAGTCTTATTAGAGATGAAGTAATGTAATACAAGAGATTTTATTTTATTTTAAAATTTTAATTTCATATCAAAATATAGCTCCTTAAATTTGATGTTGTATGAAATTTTTGTAAAGATTGTAATCACCCTTAAGTTCACTAGAATTTTCTCAAACCAAAAATATGGCATTTTGATTGTTCATTTAAAAAACAAAAAAGAAAAAGAAAAAGAAAAGACGAAGAATTAGAGACACGTAAGAACAAATATAGTTGGTACACTATATTTTATGAATAGTGAACTGTGACATTTTCAAAAAAAAAAAAAAGCTAATTTTGAATTCAAATTTTGAATGTTTCTTCACCTCTATCTGCAAAAATATCTATGCATTCGATATATTTTATAAAAGGAAATACATGTAATGGGAATCGTATCACCATCACCAAACATATCCATAATATTGGATGGTCCTCTATATCTATATATATATATATATATATATTAAAAAAGTAGCACTTTATCTCGATGCTGGAGTTCAAAGGAATCAATGTAATGCTCCGGAATCCGATTGGATTTCTCCACGGTTCGGTTGTAGACTAGTGGACCCATGCCCGCGTCCGCGCAAAGCCGACCACGGTGGGACCGCGTAACTGGCATTTAAACGAAGGACCCTCAACCAACACCCCCATCCTCCGTTGCTGGGGTCCACGTCAATTTGCCTAGCTGGCCATGGCCCCCACCCCAAAGGCTTCGCATCGGCCATGGCGCCCCCATCCCCGAACTCGCCATAGCCATGGCCTACCCTTGTCCAATCCCCTCGTTGTCGTCGTCGTCGTCGTCGTCCGCGCCATTGCGAGAGCCTGCACCAGCAGCAATCCAGTCCTCCTCTTCAACTCTGCCTGCTCTTGGGTTTGTCTCAGATCTCGCTCGCTTCGGACCCAGTTTGGAGGGAGAGGCGGAGACTGAGAGACTGAGAGAGAGAGAGAGAGAGAGAGAGGGAGTGTGAGGGAGAGCGGGGATTGTTGCAATGGGGGTCGTGAACACGGTCCTCGGCTTGGTGGGGTTCGGATGGGGACTCGGATTTGGTCTCGTCACTGGATACTTCCTCTTCATCTACCTGCAGCCCACCGAAGTGAAGGTGATCGGTCAATACGATTTTTCGCTGGGTAGATTTCGTAGGAATTTACGTGGTTTTTAAAGGGGGTGTTTATCCTTTAGGTTTGTGGATTGATGGGTCTGAAGCGGATCAGTAGTCCAGTTTTATCACCATGAGTTGGGCACTGGGTTTGCTGATGCTAGTTTCAGAATGTCAGGGGCCTCATTTTGCGAATGCTTGTGTTGAGTGTCGTAGGCTAGTTTTTGGGTGTTGGATCATGAAGGGGTTTCGAGGTACGGTCGGTAGTGGTGTAGTATGAAAGGCATTCTTGGTAAGATTTGAATTTATCAACACGGGATTTTATGGTTGACTGTTTGTTGTATTGGTTTCAGGATCCATTTATCGCGCAGCTGGGGGAGATGGATGAAAAGTCCCTAGATGACCTTCTTGATGATATACCTTTGTGGGTGAAGAACCCAGACTACGAGCGGGTAAGGTTTCCATTCTTTCTTGCCGTTAAGCTGCATATTTTATTTCGTTTGCTGACGACTCTCTCTCTCTCGTTTTTATTTCTGAATTCCTGATTTGAATTTTTTTGATTTCAGGTGGATTGGTTGAACAGATTCTTGAAAGATATGTGGCCTTATCTCGACAAGGTATTCCCACGCAACTGAGGCAGCGAAGAGTAGAACAGAATGACTGCTCTTTCCACCTCAGCGAACATGAAAAAAGTTGTCTTGAGTTGTAATGTTTTCTTCAATGATGTACTCCCGTCCTAGGCAAGTTTGCACAGTAATACATAGTGTTGCAAAAAGCATGTGAGCACGACATTCTAGGTGAAGAAACCCCAGACAGTCCTTACAAGTTGGACTGTTGAGATACTTGCAACCCTAAACTAGGTTGGTAAAATGTGTGTGTCAGGCCATTTGCAAGATGATTCGAGAGCAGGCCCAACCACATATCGATCTGTATGGTCCAAAGTTTAAGCTGGACGCTATCGAGTTTGAGTCACTCACTTTGGGATCACTTCCTCCTACTTTTGTTGGTACACCATCCTCCCCACATATCAATTTCTTTGAGAGTGTATTTGTCCAAGTTGAACTAGTTGCACTTGCTGGTTTGATGTATTTGAATGTTCTGTTTCAGAGCACTCCCCATGATGAGCTGGCTGTACTTTGGGATTTCAGGTATGAAAGTATACGAAACTAAGGAGAAGGAGATGATTCTTGAGCCCTCGTTCAAGTTTGCTGGAAATCCGAACATAATTGTCGCTGTGAGGGCTTTTGGTATGAAAGCAACAGTACAGGTCAGATAATTATTTTTACCGTCGAAGACAGAAGCAGTTTCATGCTCAAGTAGATATGTTCTGCTGTTGAATTCTTGTGTCTACAGTCTAATGTTTTAGGAAATGCGTCAGTAGCTGTTCTTGTTTCTTGATGTATTATATCGAGTAATCTTGGGATTTGGTCACTGCTCTGAACTTAACCAAGAGCGTATTTTAATTGCAGCTAGTAGATGTTCAAGTTTCTGCCACCGCGCGAGTTACTCTGAAGCCGCTGATTCCCGTTTTCCCCTGCTTCTCGAAGATAATTGTTTCTTTGATGAGCAAGGTATGTATTATGTGGTCTTTTAGAACTCCCATGTTGTGAATGCCTGCGCATGCAGCATGGTGCTTTGACCATAATCAACATTTTAATTGACTGGTTTATAACACGCATATATTTTTAGGGACTGCGCCCCAAGAAACAAGCTTATAACTGGGTGGTGCCTTGTTACGGTAGCTTCTAACACAGAGATTCCTTCGTGTTGCAGCCTCAGGTAGATTTTGGTTTGAAGTTGCTGGGTGGAGACATCATGGCAATTCCTGGATTGTACCGTTATGTTCAGGTATGTGGATAACTTGTTCCAATATATCAATTGTAAGAAGAGTTCAGGTTTCGTCTGTTGTTTTGAACAATTATGTGTAATGAATGTTCTACAGCATGTTCTGCATGTTTTGAGTAATGAACCATTGATTTATCATTGCAGGACAATATTAGTAGTCAAGTTGCCAAAATGTATATGTGGCCCAAGAAAATGGATATTCCTGTTAATGATGATCCCAGGTACCATACCTGACGGTGTTCTCTTTTTGTTCTCCGTTCTATTGGTAAGCTCTTTTCTACATTTGTCCTCTTGTGTAGAGTATGAGGATTTGGGCATTTTTAACATTTGTTGTGAATAAAATGGCAGTGCTTCAAAGAAACCCGTAGGCATAATTGAGGTAACGATTGTTAAAGCTACGAACCTGGTGAGGAAAGACACTTTTGGGAAATCTGACCCTTACGTGAAAGTCCAATTGGTCAACACTATACATTCCAAGAAGACCACTCATAAGCTGAGCACATTGAACCCCGTATGGAATGAGGTTGTCAAGCTGACGATCCAAGATCCCAAGACGCAGTCTCTTGAATTACAGGTTTTTGACTGGGATAAGGTACATCTATCAAGCTCATCAGTGATTTTTCAATGCGACATTGGGTTTATCTTTGTGTTGTCAGTATAGGTAGTCTTTTCTACCCATAGTAAGGTGGGCGCAGAGTCCTTCTGCAAGGTCGTGTAGCGCCCGTTTCTATACTCTGATGGTTTATTTGCACTTGTGTTTGTAACCTGTGCCTGATGAATGCTGGTGAAGTTTATTTGTGTTATGTCGTTCAAATCAACACAAAAAATGGAACTTGAAAATTGCGTGTGCAACCCTCGTCAGACAACCTTTTTGCGTCCAGTTCCACAGTTTTGTCACAGAAGAGAATACTGATGCAACTGCTGTAGTGGAATTTTACCATTACCTTTAATCTAGTTGGTTCGTCTTGGATTTAAACTGTGGTACTACACTTGGGAACATGTACCCTTCAGGTTGGATCGCATGAGAAGATGGGTATGGTAATAGTGCCATTGAGCGAATTGGTGGAGAATGTACCGAAATTATATAATGGTCTCAAACTGTTGAAGAACGTGGACCCTAACGACGAGAAGAACCTGAAATCCCGTGGCGAGATTACCTTCGAAATTTTATTCAAGCCTTTCAAAGATGTACGTTATTTTTCTAGTGTCCTTACGAAATGGGTACCGTATTCATGCTAGTACAAATGGATCGAAGTTTCCTATGTTCAAACGTCGTGACTAAGCATGCACCTGGCTTTCAGGATGATGATTCAGATGATCAAGGGGAAGCAGCAGCGGATGGTTCACAAATGACACCCGAGGGTACCGGAGGAGGCTTGCTTACAGTCACCATAGTGCAGGCTGAGGGTTTAGAAGGCAAACATCATAATAATCCGTTTGTCGAATTGCATTTCAAAGGAGATAAGAGGAAAACCCATGTAAGTTCCATGCCTTGGGTGCCGTCCACGGGAAACTAGATGTCTTTTGTTGGATTTCAATTTGTCAAGTAGCTGTACCATTCATCTTGTAAATCACTAATGCTTTGTCTGGCTCCTCAGGTTGTGAAGAAGAACAGGGAACCAAGATGGGATGCTGAATTCACTTGGAATTTGGAGGAGGCACCTGAAAATGAGCATTTGTTACTTGAGGTTCACAGCAGAGGCTCAAGCATGAACATGGTTCATCGTCAGGTAGATTCCTCATTAGTTTGATGCATATTTCAAGGACATGTTGAATCCAGTATGAGAGTCTTGGGTGCATGTTGTGAGTCATGTTTTCAATTTTATCTTCCACTCTCAATGGTTTATGTTTGTGGGTTCTGCTTGTTTCTCGGAGTGACACTGACTTACATGTTGTATCATGTGAAGGAATCTTTGGGTCATGCGGATATTTCTCTCCGGGACTTGAGGGGCATGAGCAAGAGAATCAACGAAACATATACTTTGGTCGATGGTCATGGAAAGATCCAAGTGGTGTTGGATTGGCAGGCCGTTTAGTTGGTTATCACCAACGATGTGCAGTACAGCTCTGACTAGTAGCCCAATCAACTGCCGCTATTACTAGCAGCAGCGATCATCGTTTAGTTATACGTGAATATTAATACGCACCAGGGTTAACCGGGTTGTACTCAGCGTCCCACAGGGCTTGAACATGCAATGCAGGGTTATTGTACAGCGTAAAAATCGAATTTTCTGTACAAGTTTGTTTCTTTTGCACCACACGCATTGCGTATTTTTTTCTCCCTGTTTAAAAGTTGTGTGCTGCTGTTTTGAGCTGGTCTTTTGTTGGTCATCAATAGAATCTTTCATGAACCTTCCTGGGCGGATAAAGGCCAAAGAAATCCGATCATTGTCCACATTTCCATTACATTCCTGTCACCGTCCTGCCAGTAAGCAGGATAGGAAACAAACCGAATACTTCGATGGTACCGTCTTCAGTGGTCTGTATACCCTAACTAAGAATGCTTAACTTCTCATCCAAGCTGGAGTGCCGGTGGGAAAATCCTGGACCCACCATTTTGTTCGAAGATCAAGCGAAATAGAGGCTCTGTCGGTGTAGTAGTTAATACAGTGTGGATTGATTCATCCAAATGTTTTGGTACTTCTGCCGTTGATGCAGACAAGCTTACTGCAGCTGGACGCAAAAAGGTGAAGTCCGACCGCATTACCATGTTAGATTTGCAGTACTCGCGAGTTTAGACTTGTACCTCTGGCGGTAGTGGAGGGCTTTCGGGCAAGTTGTTGGCTCATTTGATTTTTTCGTCTAGAATTTCTTGTATACTATTTACTTCATTCGTCAATGTTCCTTGTAACTTTTCAGAGTGCGAATGCCAGACAGACTTAGATCTCCCCTTAACAAAACTCAAAACGGAACACGGTTGTTTAATTCTTACTGGAACTTGCTAAGAGAATTGAGTTCATCGTGACGTAGATTAAAATGATTGCACGCATTCAAGGGAGAGTTTCTTCCCAAACCCAAAAGCAAGTGGAATTACTAAACCCGAAATGCCTACAATGCACTGTGGATAAAGTTCAAAGATAAGGAATTTACTCTTGTAACCAGGGGATGTAAGATGATTGTCTTGAACAGTGAAGAATAAAATAAATGAATAAGTGATACCTTTGAGCATACAATTGTGTTAACTTAGTGGTGGGGATCTTCAAATCTTAAAATCTAAGCTAGAAGAATAAGAATCATCCCTCCCACCATCAAAAACACATATGGCAATCTCCTGCAGATACGTTCCTGCAGCATTAAAACAAGCGAGTCAGTTAGCAGCAAAATTGTGGCTGGAGTTCTCGTATAGCTCTAGAATGAATAGGTCCTTAAAGACTGTACAAAACGTGTAGCCAGGAAAATATAATTTACCTTGAATATGAGGTGCCCCACGATTACGGAGAGCAATACATTGCTGCGTTTGGCCTGCAATAAATATCAATAATGTCTTAGTTCATTGATCTTATACAACATATGGCTAATCCTTTGGAACGACTTCAGTCAACAGTTTGCACACAGTATTCAATGCCCCAGTTCATGAATCAGCACAACAAAAAACCTTTCCCAGAAAAAAAGACTTACAGCAATGGAATAAGCAACCAGTAAAGTCTCTAAACTTTTCAAGTAGCATAAGATTGCTCCGCACTCAAATATAGAAATTCCTGCCATGAGTGGGAAGTGGCGAAACAAATGCTTGAATGAAGATGGGCTATTTTGACACTCAACCAGCCAACGAAAGCTAAAGTTAGTGCAATCAAGTAACACAAAGATTTCATCCACGAGCAAAATAAAATACACATTTTTTTGCGATCACTAGGAGATTGCACATGAGAAAGCAAACTCCCCTGGATGGTTTCAGATTCATGGAGTTATATCAGAGACTACAGGAATTTACCTCGTGAATGCTAAGTAAAGGACAACTGGTATAGCCATTAGAATTCGCTGAAGAGCAGCAAAAACAACAAAAGATGGTGCCATGTGAGCTCCTAGTTTGTCAAAACTGCGCGTATTCTCCAACACGAAGCTGATTAGAATCGCCCCAATTTAGAAGAAGAGTGTGATTTCTGTATTCTTAAGTCCATTGATTGTTTGTTCTAAATGTGTTCAGAAGTGTTAGTGTCACCAGTGTAGGGATAATGTGCTCTGGTAAGCAGCTAAGGCCACAAATCCGAGGTTTGAGACAGATGTGCCGATTTCAAACGAACGTACCTGTTGCTGAGGCTAAGCAAAGCAGCAACTCCGAGCATAAGTAAACTACCTTCCTCTTTTTTCAAAGCCAAAATTGGATCCAACAAGGGACTTCTACCTTTGGATATCCTGCAACTCCAAGCAAGTACACAGAGTCACGTTGTAGCTCTCTATTGATATCATGTACGCTTCACTTAAGACATGGACAACAATCCCTTTCTATTGCCACTCAAAGACGCTAAAAATGTGCATAAGAATCCGACACATGAGAGCAGCATGCCAAGCAATGTACCATTCAATGGCCTTTTTGTAGGTTCTCGTGCGAGCTGGAGTTGGCACATCCTTCGTGGCGTTATCATTATCGTTCACAGTGATGAGCACCTGATCACTCTCTTTGTCTTCTTTCTTCTCAAGCTTCATTCCCGGAACTGCTGAATTTGGTAAAACTGAAACTAAGTAACTCTCAGACGGAGTAAATGTTTTTGCCCCCTTAGGTTTCTTCCCCTCCGCATCCCCAGACTGGTCAATAGCCAGCAAATAACCTCCCAGAGTGACAATCGCCACTCCCAGCATACCTTGCGTGCTAGGTGACTCCCGCATAACTAAATAACTAGTAAATACCAAAAGAACAGGAGTGAATGCTAAGTAAGGCACAGTCACCGAAAGAGGAGAAACGTGCAAGGCCCGTTGATACATATATCCTACCACAACCTTTATACACGAACTCCCAACAAGCACCTCTAAGAACATGTTGACATCAGCTAACTGCGAAATGGTATTCGAATCGAACATGCCAGTCCCAAACATTACAGATGAAAGGAAAGCCGCATCGAGAAGACCCACCAATCCAACTAACTCTGTTGACGTAAACTTTTGTGCTGCTAACTTCCGGCTGGCATCAATGCAGCTGTGTCCTGCTGCCGCCATGGCGGCATAGGCAAAACCCTCCGACTTCATCTTTCCCGAGACGACGAAAAGGTGAAATTTAGCGATTGCAGATGTTTGAAACTGTCTTTACTTGTGATGGAATATGTACGGTCAATCTAATGGCTTCTCACTCCCTCATCGATGTTCAATTTCGAGGTCCAATTCAGTATACAACCTCACAGGTTTAGCACTGCTGAATTGGATTCGTTTACATGAATTATCATTTGCCGTGCGCCATTATTCGTGTGCGAATCTGGTCAAATTTGATACCTGCTGTAAATATAAACTTTCTTGCCATCAATCAACGGTTTTCCAGTCGATCGAATACGACGAAATATTCACCTCCTATTGCATCGTAGTCTTATCCGGTTTCCTCACCCAGGTGCCCTTACAATGATGCCTCTCAAAGGAGGATTTCTGCAATCTTTCTTGACATCAGCCTTGTCGTCTGTGCCCAACACTCGCAAATACATGATCTCGTCGCAATGCGTGGACTCGTAATCACCAGGCTCCCCTTACATCCCTGTCACAAAGGTTCTGTTTGACAAAAAAGAAAAAGGAACTGTGAGTTTGAAGTTAAGAGAGCATTTTTGGTGAGCACAACTGAAAGAAGAAGTGATGCTAGAATGAAATCGAGTGGAAAGACTTGAAAATGCAAGCGAACCTGGAAAAACTATGAGATGTGGTCATATAGCGAACACGTGTTATACAATTTCTTCAACCCAACAGCAGCTACACAAAACCTTGAAGTCGTCAGAAAGAATAAATACATAATCTGAGGAATTGAAGAAAGCTGTGTCTTACACATGCAATTTTGAAGCAGAGAACGCAAGGAAATTACCAGTAAGGGAATGGAGGACCTAAAATTTCCCTCTTGGATTGAATTTCATTCAAAGTTAAAGTCTTCCAACATATAAGTCTATTTTGAAACCCAGTTAGATCAGCCACGGTTTGATACCAGGGCTACATTCGCTGGGTACAATTTTTCTTCGTGCCGAACATGTTTAGAAACACGACGTCGGTGGGAGTATCAAAGACTTGAAAACCGAAAACAGGAGGTGGGAGTCGGCCACCGGAACAGCTGCAGAAAGTTTCGATGTACAACACGGAAGTGTAATCCTCAATCGAACACGGGGACAGAGGTCTCACTTTCAGCTTCCGCCAGACAGACCAACAAAATCATGTCCGGATGAAAACACGCCGATCTAACCAAACGTAAAAGCTTGAATCAAAAGACAACTGAACAAAGGCAACAGAATAAGAGAGAAGATTGAATCGTACCTGTTGTACCAGACATAACATTCAAAGAACGCAGGCAATGAAAGATCCCTGAAAACCGCTCAACAATTGGCGGTCGCATGAAATCTGCAACTTGAAAAAAGTATATTGAATCAAAAAACTCAATTGTTCAGAAATAGAGGGAGAGACGAAGTAGTGCACGTATAAAATACAAGCTCTCGATCACGAAAATCACAACATGAGATTGTGTAACGACCAATTCAGTTAAGAGCTCCCAAAACGCCAATTCAGAAACTTCTACACCAAAAATAAAACAATTCTACAATACAACAGAACCTGTTCTATAAGCAAAACTACTAAAACATAACAAAAAAATCACAAAAAATATATAACAACAACAACAACAACAAACACTGGCACACGCACATAAACCCACCAAGTACACGCCACAGATCAACCCATAACAACGAACAACAACCGGTTCGACCCCAAAAAACTACAGAAACAGAAATCTCCAATTGCACTATTCAATCAACCCCAACTGTCCCTCCCTCTTTCCTTCCTTCTCTCTCTCTCTCTCGTACCTGTCAACAACAAGAACAAAAACCTTCCAAGAACACGCTCTCCTCAACTCAAACTCACCAAACCATCATCATCAACAACAGCAGCACGCACTGAGTCAGTCTCGCAGCAGAGCAGAGTCCAAAATCCTTAACCACACACTCTGTGTAAGAGCTCCGATGGCGAACCCACGGACTCTCTAACGTACGCATGAGAGAGTCAAAATGGCGAAGGTGGAAAGCAATTCTACTCTCTTCGCTGGGCTGCACGTTGCTCAGTCTTAAGGAAAGCAACTCCCTCCCTCTCTCTCTCTCTCTCTCTCTGAAACCACCACCACCAGCCTGCCCTTCCTTTCCCTTCCCTTCGTTAAGCAAGCAAGCAAGCAACTAACCAACCAGCCAAGCTGCCTCTCTCTATCATTCCTTCCTACTCCCTCCTTCCCTACACTACTATCACTCCATCGCTCTTTGATGTGCAAACGGGAGAGCCGCCGTGCTTTTTTT